AATTCTGTATCTCTGGATACAGCAGGATTTGTATTCACTCCTCTGAGTAAGGCAACTGGATTTAGCAGCCAATTTCTTTAGCCAAGATGATCTGATTTGGCTATACTGGCTCTTTTAGTATTAATTCTGTGAATGGGACAGTGGAGTCTTATTCTAATACTGTATAAGTAGTCCTTGACTTACAACCATTCATTCAGAAACTGATCAAAATTACTGCAGCATTGAGAAAAGAGACTTATAACCAGTCCTCACACTTACTACCATGGCAGCATCCTCATGGTCATGTGATCCAAATTTGGGCACTTTTTCCACCAGCATATAATTAACAATGATTGCAGCATTTCAGGGTCATGTGATTGCCATTTGCACTCTTCCCAACTGGCTTCCAACAAGCAAAGTCAATGGGGAAAGCCTTTGATTAAGCTTTACAACTGCATAATTCACTTAACAACTGCAGTGATTTCCTTAACAACTATGGCACAAAAAAAGATTGTAAAATCAAATGCAACTCACTTAATAACCACCCTACATAGCAATAAAAATTCTGGAAGCAATTGTAAATTGAGAACTACGTGTATAAGAATAAGGACAGTGAAGTGTTGAAATTTTTTTTTAAGTGGGAGGGTGAATGGGCCAAATGCAAGAAGAAACATCTTCATGCTTCTGTTTTGGAAGCAAAAGTCTGACATGAAATATTAAAAGAGAATATCAAAAGCCCACAAGAAGCTATGAATAAATACATGCTTTAGCAGTGGTTTGCAAATGGCCACATCAAACTAAGAGTGTCTGTGGATTGTATGTAAGCAAGTGTTTGTTGAATCAGGCAGGACAGCAGACATATGGCTGTAGTGCAAGTCCCATCCCTTTGTTCTGTGTCACATGCACATCCAAAGATGTATGGCTCGCATCACAACACTCTGCCTGCCATCTTATCTATTCTGCTTATTCCCCATGTTTTCTTTTGTGACTGACCTTTTCTGGGCTTGAAAGCTAAGCAAGGTTGGGCCTGATAACCATTAGGATGGGAGACTTTCAGGGAATACCAGGGCTGCAGCTCAGACTGGAAAGTTGAAAAGCATAGCAAAGTATTGTTGCTAAAAACTTACTAGGAATTGAACTCTTTTACTCTTAGACAGGCTATTGTCCAACATATTCCTTACTTGTGAATGTAAGAGAGTCCGCATGATTATAGCTCTTTAACCAAACAAGAGCCCCACCTCCAGGCTTGTTGAGTGACCCTGAACATCCTTTTTCCCCCAAAACAACAGTTTACCAAACTGGGAACTTCCCATATACATGATATGTGAACTGTGACTGTAGAATTCCTAACAGCAGTCCTATGACATCTTAGAGAACATTTAGTTGGAAAAGGTAATATAGGCTTAAAATAGTTACCCAAAGCTGAGTGTTATTCTGTATCTAACTCCATTTACCAACAAGGCTATCCAGTTACTAATAATCTCTACAATGTTTGTCCATTATGCTCCCTAGAAAAAACCAACTTCAAGGAAAGGGGCTGCATAGTGGTGCTGAATGCTACAGTTCACTTAATTAGGAAGTTAATTTCTTGATGTGTGAATATGTATAATAAAATGCAGAAATCAAAGCAAAATGTTGCATCATTCACAGTTTCATATTTATCTTATACTGCATTGTCCACGTTCAAACATCAGAAAGGGGCCTTCTGTCAAGCATTAGTTTTAATAAGATGCAGATACTGAAGAATTATTGAAAAGTATCTGGATTACTAAAAATTTACTTGTAGAGCAAAATCCAAGTCACAAATGGGCCAAATTGAAATAATGATGCAATGAAATAATTCCATAAGAAAATGAATAGGAGCTGAAAATGTATCAAAAAGGATAGGAAGGTTTTTACGCACATCTGAGCATCCAGTAGTCTTCTCTCTTGGGAAAATTCTCTATGGTTTTCACACTGAAACATATTTTCCTAGGACTTGTTTGTTTATTTAAAATTACAAGTAAAATGATACTCATAAGAAAGAGGTACTCATAAGGAATTAACAATAATGATCAATCTCTAAAGGGAAGGATCTAAGGAAATTATTTAATTTATTATTAAACCAATTGATAAGGTTACGTATCTCACAAAGAGCAACAGAACAGCAATAGGCTATAAGATGCTGAATCTATCTTGCCCTAAGTTATTAGTGGATGATGGGCTTATGATGCTATTTCAAGAATGCCTAGGCAGCACAGTGAGGGGATTAGCATCTTCCCTGTGGCCCAGAAAGCTCTTGATGGCTGTCCCAGTGACCTATCCACACATGATGTATGGGACCAATTAAAGGTTTTCATGCCAGATACAGGCTCTATAGGTAAGAATGCTCTCCTAGTGATCTCTTCAATATCCTTTTCCCCAAAACAGTATGCGACTCCCAAACAATTAGAAACTGATTAGAATAGGTTTAAAACAATGAAACAATGTTGTTGCATTTTTAAAATCAGGGGCTACATTTGTTTTTTTTTTCTTTTGTTGTTACTTTCTTCAATAGTTGAGAACTGCAGAGAGACAGCTATGATATAGTGATGTCATCAAGTGAAGTAGGATTTTTGGTCCTGCTCCACATTTTCAGGTTTCACCTTTTAGTTGTCTAGGTGTTACAACATCAGTGTTTCATCTTCTTTCGTTTTTGCTAAAATTTGTTGTTAAATCTCATGGTTATGGTTTGGTGCTTTGCCATCAAGTGTATTTGCCATCAAGTGTATTACGTACAGTGTATTGTAATGTAATTCCAGGAAGCAGACTCATAAAAGAGACTGGTAACAAAAGTTAAAAGTGGCTACACGTGGCTTATGGACTGCAGCCTGCCCAGCTCTGTCTTAAATATTATACTAAACTTTCATGGCCCATAGCACACTTTTTCCAATGTGCTAAGTGCTATTCTGAGATGCGTTTTCCCCTGCTGCTGCGTACAATGAAGCAGCTACTTCTGACAGTAGGTAGAGATGGGAAGTGAATTGGAGTCAAGCCTTCACTTGCTGCCATCCAGCTCACTGCATGGAACAGGTTATCTAAGGAATATCACCCATAATGTAAGTGTTACTCTGAGGGACTCTAAGCTTGCTGTGTTGCTTGCCTATACAGGCAAGCAAAATGTGCTGCAGATTTGGAGGGTCCTGCTCAGAACATGTACAGATAAGGCAATCAACTGGCTGACCAGCCCTTTCTTGAGAAAGAGCATGCAGATCTTCTGCTCATATAGAGGTCCATTTGGGCTGCCCCTTTGAGAAACATGTATACATGGCTAGGACAAAGAACTATAAATAGTGAGGTCAAGGAAAATAATGTGCAGAAAGTACAGACAGTGACAATTATGTCCTTAACAGCAGCATTCCCAAAGCAGCTGCTGCCTAGGCAACTTGGGCTTGTTCTGTGTACTAGCCTATCCTCTTCATTTCTATCCTGGGGTGTACACTGCTACCCCAAAAGAGCCCCTGAACATTAGACAATAACAAACAAAATAGCATAAAAGGAAGAAGGCAAAAATGTTCATCATGCACACAGGAAGAAATGCAATGTACTACAATAGGGGTAAGAAGCACAAGCATTTGTAAATCTCTGCTAGGAGACTTTCAACAGCAGTGTGAACAGTTCAAAGCAGCCAACTGCTTTCACACACACATTATGCTGCCTGGAATCAAACCAATACAACACAGACCAGCAAAAGACAAGCACTTTCTTATGTCTATTTTTTTCAAATGGGTTAATGCTGGCTGATCAGTGTTACTTCCTAGCAATCAAAACTGAATAGGGAGGATACTAGAAAGCAGAGTCATAGTGGCCAGTTCTTCTATGCGTATCCCTCTGAATTGATAAAAATGGGCAGAGAAGTGTCTTTATGCACGGGGGGGGGGGAGTGGTGCATATTACTGTATCGCTTGCAAGTAAATACGAATGCAAATCATATTTGCATAATATGTGATACTGCTCAGACAATTTGAAGATAAAGCATAAAATGTGTTCAAAGGAATGAACAATGCTTGTGAAACATTGCAGAAAAGAGTCTGTGTTCTTTATGTCTGCAATTATGTGTGTGCTTATATATACATAAATATGTCTTGCAGCTATCTGACTCCCTTCCCCCACATGTTCCAGTACTGACACTGGCACGGTGCCTCTGGCTGAGGTGCAAGCTATTTCAGGCGTCTCCTGGGAGCCCCATTCTTTGTCAATGTAGAAACCCAAACCACAAACAAATAGCAGCATACTGGAGCCAAACTTTTCCCACCTGCTGGACACTGACTGTTTCCTGGGCAATGCTTGGTGACTTTACAGCACTTCAGAGGAAGTAACATTACCTCTGAAGAAGTAATGCCTGGGGAAGGCACTTCCTGGATTCTTCTGCCTACACTATTTGGGACAGGAATCATAATCAAGGGGCATTAAAGAAGCAAAGTAAGGGTCCTATTTTCCAGTCTCATGAAAAATGTGAATACTCTAATAGACCATAATCTAGTCTGGCTATATCCCAGCACTAAGCCTGACTTCCTATGTAACTACTTAATATAGACTCCAATACTGTCACAGTTCACCTCCTGAATAAATTAGATCTATGTTCAATATAGGTTTTGTACTTCATTCCTTCCCCTAGTCAGCTTCATACTCAGGTTAAATTCTGGTGATTAGGCCTAGGAAGCTTCCCACCCATCCTGCCTCTTGTTCTGGGACTATCCTGATAAGAGGAGGTAACCGAAGCTGGAGAATGGTGATTAGCAGAGAGCTCCTTCATATACAGCATGCAGCTCCAGGCCCAGTGCAATAGCCAGCCAGTCCCCAAATCATTCAAGTGGGGAGGGTGAGGAACACAAAGGGCTGGATGTTTTAAACAGTAGCCAAAAGTCTGAAATAGACACTTCTTCCACCCAATCCTATGGACTTCCCCAGTTTCCAAGAGACACCCTCTCTTCTTCTTCTTTTTTTTAATACCAACATCTCAAGCACAATATTGCAGAATCCACAAGGATCCCCAGACTCACCAGTAACCCCTCACTGCATTTTTCTGCCATGGTTCTGGGCCAAGATGTGGGCACCCACTTGCCTGCTATCCCGTCTCGTTGGCTACACTTCCAGGATAAGCAGAGACCTCAAATCATATGGCAGGACAAATTAGACCAAGGAAACAGCAAGCTGTGGAGAAGAAAAGGACAGAACTTAGAGAAAAGAATTAATTAAAAAGGAAAAAGTAACCAGGAAGAATTGCCTCTGAATCTTCAGTGGAAAGCAATTATGCTCAATTATGCTTCTCAAGGCCTGGTTTGCAGTAACCACCAATAAACCCAGTTTGATTACCTTGTAAAGGCCATTTCTTTTTACTGTGTATATATGTGGTTATATCACAAACATACACCATAAACACACTCACACACACACACACACACACACACACACACACACACACACTGACACATACTGTAGTTATACAATCTACATTCAACATATGCCCAAAGATGGTAAAATGAGTCATGTTAGCAGGGCTGGGAAAGAACACAGAGTTTGGGTGAACAGGCACTATATTTGCTTCACTATTTCTAGGTTTTTCTGTCCATTTTTTCCATCTGAAGCAGGAACAGTCCCCCCAAATTGCACATGGCTGAAAAGAGCATAGCTAATGCTCAGAGCATGAAGTCTTCAGGGCACTGAGCACGCAAAGGGGCACAGCTGCCATTCAGGACACAGATGGAAGGCAATTGCCTTCCACCCCATTGCACTAGTCACGTGCCAAGCCAAGCCTACTAGAGTCCAGGTGGTACTGCCAGGAAAGAAAAGGAGGCAGAAATTAGCCCACTTTCTCCCTGGTTCAAGGAAAATTTCTTCTAGGAAAACTGTATAGATATGCAAGTCTATCCATTCAAGGCAGGAAAAACTACTTTGTGAAACGTAGCAAACCTAAAGAATGTGGAGGATATGATAAGAGCTTGGAACGTGAAAAAAATGACTTTTGTGCTACAGCACAATGGAGTGGATAGAAAGGGTGACAGACTTTCATGGTAAAACCCAAGGAGATAAGAATTTGAGTAAAATTTGAGCCCAAACCATTGTCTCACTCAGAAGTTTGTAAGTGGTGACTCAAACTCACATTTACTCTCTGTTGTATGAAAATAAATCTATGAAGAAAGTAACTCAGTTCAGGCTATTCAAGTTCACAGCTTCATATTATTTTAGGGTCAAATATTATTGAAGATCAAAGCTATGTTTATATCATATAGAGACATTAATGCAGAAATGCCATTGATCAGTGCAATGGTAATTCATACTTTAGATGTGATTTTTGAGGTTTTGTCTTCCCTGCTCCAATTCAAGCCACCATAAGTTTCTCCTTCTCCTGTTCCTCTGCCCTGCTCTCCCATCTGAGTTAAACTGGTAGGTCCCACGAGTCTTATTTTTACCTTCAAGAGAGCTAATTTGGTACCACAGGAACATTTTGATTCTTGGAAACAAACATTACCTAAATTCCTGTTAGAACAATTACCCAGAGAGGTTGTGAGCTCTCCTTCATTCAATGGACGATTCAAGCAGAGGCTAGGAAATCCTCTGATACTTTAATTTAGATTCCTGCACTTCACGGAGAGTTGGACTCATAAGCTAAATACTTCCTTCCATCTCTATTGTTTGTTTATATAAGCAAGATTATTAAAACTCTTCTTATTCTTTGCTTTATTTCTTTATGTTCAGGTCTGAACACCAGTATCAAAACCAGAATTTGCAGATCAGATACATGACATAATAAAATCTGTTTAAAATTTTAAACACAAAAAACTAAATAAAAACATAAAAGCTATTGGATTCAAGCTCATATATCATTATGCAACCCAATATAATTACACAAAGGGTGTGATTTAGTTTTTTATAGACTTGCAGATTTAAAGGAGTCAAACACAGAGGTGCCAATGGACAGAATCATTAGTCCAGTAGAAAAGAACTATAGGAAAAATCAAGAAGGATAGAAATTTATTTTAATTTTAGGAAATGGCTAAATTTGAAGAAGCTACAGGCCCTGGGAATTTTATTGTCCCACAGTAAACATCTTGTCATCTAGGTTTCTTTATGGAAGAAAAAATAAATAAAATTTCTACTCCTTTTTCACATCTTCAGAGCACAACAGATTTTAATAGACACTTTGAAGCAAGTAGTGCTTAAGTGCCTTATAGTTTAAAATAGTGTTTAGAATAGTTGGAAAAAGTTGAATGTGTGCGAGCAGAGGTGCAAAAGTAGTGCATTCTTTTCATTCCCTCCTTTTCCAGATTATTTTACTTAATATTTAATATAACGTCACCATGTCACTATCAACTCTTTTGTCATCACATAGATATTTTTCAGGACATCTGTTCCCAGCCTGGTGCAACAATTGGATGGACACACACATGGTATCTCCCAATTTAATACATGCTAATAATACTGTTTAAATATTTGCAACTGCGTATTGCCAGTGTCTTACAAAAATCTTTTCAATAGGCAATAGTGAGATTCAATGACTGCATTCCATAACTGCATTGAATTTAGGGATTAGTTAATCTGGGATAATTAATTAGTTAAACTTATCTTAAGACAATTAGGTATGCTTTTAAAATCATAAAGTATAGGGTTACTTCAGAACCTGTCCTGCTCATTCCTCTAAATGGGGTTCCAAAAGTTCCTCAGAATCCTCCTGATTGCACTAGTCACACCATTAACTATTAGGAGTGGACTGTTCATATATGAAAACATTATTAAACTATGAGACTGTCTTTAAAAGCTGTCTGGAAATTGGTGCAAAATGCAACAGCCAAGCTGCTGGTACAGGGTGCAGAAATCACATGGTACTATACTGAAAAATCTGAAATGACCACCAGTTGCCTATTGGGCACAGGTTAAGGTGCTTATGCTGACCTTTAAAGCCCTAAATAGCTTACGGTTCAACTATTTGCCGGATTGTCTCTCTCGCTCTGAACCTGCCTGGCAGCTTAAATCAGCTGGAGAAGCTTCTGGAAGATTCCCCCCGTGGTGTGCTGATAAATGTAAAATACCAGTATTTGGTCCTGCCAGCTCCAATGCAGCTGTGGTGCTGTGAGCCGCCAAACAGTTGATTGGGACACAAGGTGGCATGATTCAGATGGCTTGCAATATTCCTGAAAATGTAAAAATGGGTTGCTGCAAGCCAGCTCCAATATACCACTGGATTCTCCCTTCCTCCTGCTTCCAGAAGTTCCATCTGTCTAGTACACCAGAAAGGATCTTCTCTTGTATGGCCCCCATGCACTTCCCAAAGTGATGCATTTGGACCCCAGAATTTAGAAAATTAGTTTCACCAAGCCTGTAATTATTAGCCAAGCAGAACTTTAGCTTCAATAATACTTATTTTAAATGTTGTTTTGATTTTAAACACAATACAGTATTCTTACATTTTGTACTTTCTATTTATAATAGCCATAAGCTACTATGGGGAAAAAGGTGGGGCATAAATTAAACAGTGAATTGTTACTTCACTACTAACCTGCTGAGACCAGGCAGGGAGCACATGAAACAAAATGGCAACATATATTGGCACATGCCTGAAGAAAACATGAGCAACTGAAAACTGAGGAGGTGAAGAGAGATGCAGCATCAAATCCCACGAGAAATGGCTGTGGCATAAGAGAGCAATATAGCAGATAATAAATTGAGGAACTGTTTCCCTCTATAAGATTGGCCTGCCTCACTTGCTCCAGCAGAGGAGGCATGCTGTAATCCTTGTCCGTCAAAGAATTCTGAGTGATGGGATCTAGAAGAACCTTTTCTGCTGTGGCCATCCTTTGGAATATCATGCACCTCAGTAGTGGGTTCCTCTTACCTTCGCTACCGGTTTGGAACTGGGAATGTGTGCGTACACAGAGCGCCTGTGATGACGTCCGGGCGGGTGGGCGGAGCCTCCCGCCATTGCCACTAACCGGTAGAAACCCACCACTGATGCACCTGGAAGTGAGATCTGCCTCTATCCTCTTGGCCTTCTGGAAGGACCTCAAACCTAGCTTTGCCGACTGGGGGCACCTTCTGCTGGAGGTGGCTGGTGGAGAGAAGATCACACCGCTCATATATTTTGTGCCTAGTTTCATCTAATTCATCTAAGTTTAATGTTTGTGTATGTGTGTTTTTATTGTATTGTAAACCACCCAGAGTCGCTTTGGATAGGTGGGTAGCATATAAATTTAGTAAATAAAAAATAGAACTAGGCAAAAAACTGAGCAGCCAGAGAAAGCTATTCTTGCTGCTACTTTCAAAAGAGAGAGATGGAATGCAAAAAGAAGAGATGAAGACTTTAAAACAGAAATATAAATTTGTGGTTTGCAAAATCCCAGAAGCCTGAAATGGAGAAAAGTGGCAGATTTTCTCAAGCTCATGGGGAAACAGTGCAGTGTCCCATGAAGGCTCTTCTCATGGCTCACTAGAGCCACGGAAGCAGAAATGGTCTGGAAGTCGAATTATATCAATTGGGCTTCTTTTCTTGTTTGTTTGAAATATTTTGTTGCTTATCATTGTTTCAAACCAACAAGAAAAAAAGTCCAGTTGCCATGACTCACAGACAACTCTACCTGGATGACTGAGGATTTTCATCAACAAGAGGAAATGATGCAAAAACAACAGATAAAAATCTGATTTGATGTGCTTTAGAAACTGATTATTGTGTGCCATCAAGTAGATATCAATTTTTATTAGAGCATATTTATAGATCTTCTCCATAATGATCTGTCCCTAACGGGTTATTCAGGTCTTACAATAGTGCACCTATTACCCCTTTGAGTTCATCTCTTGCTTTTTTTAAAAAAAAGAAAATCTTCTTATAATAAATGTCTAGTGTGGTATAAAGATTAAGGTCTTGGAAGAGACCTAAATTCATGTCTAGGTTCAATCACTGAAATTCACTGGGTGACTTCTGAATTCTGGGCCATTTTCTCTCCCAGGGCTGCTGTGGAGGAAAATTAGATGTACTCTATACATCACCTTGAACTCCTGGAGGAAAGGGAGGATATAAACCTATCAAACAAAGAACAACAACAATAACAGCAATTTATTGTTTTGGCAATGTTAGTGCTGCTCTCCAATTTAAATATGCAGCGAGCTTATAACTCCAGGTATATGATACTGAAATGTTGATTACCTCCTTATCAGTGGTGGGTTCCTCCCGGTTTGGCCCAGTTCGGCCAAGCCGGTAGCGGTGACGATATGACATCACCGAACTGGTTCTCTTTGTTCAGGAGGTGGGCCCTCCTGCTCCGCCCGCGTTATTCTTACCTTTTATTTGGCCCCGCCCCCAATCTATTCGCTGCCTCCCGAGTCCCAGCTGATGGCTAGAAGGAAAAAAACTGTTTAAACTCTTGCCGCATGGCTTCAAAGAGCCGCCTGCAGCTGATCAGTGTTAAAAGGCAGTGTGGTGGTAGACCAGTGTGCTCGAAAAACAAATGGGGAGACCGGTGCCTCCAAAAACAAATGGGTAGACCAGGATGCTCCAAAAACAAATGGGTAGACTGGAACGCTCCAAGAACAAATGGGTAGACCAGTACAGCTCTGCAAGCAGTTAAAAGCCTGGTAGACCAGTACCTCTGCTAAATCCTAAACAATTGTCACCTGACCATCAAACCACGCCCACAAAATAAGCCATGCCCACAGAACCAGTAGTAAAAAATTTTAGAACCCACCCCTGCTCCTTATGATAAAAAAGTAATGCTATTATCACAAGGCTGACGAATGAAAATGCTCTTAGCTATTGTTACACTCTGCTCTCAGTCTCAGAAAGGACTTCAAAGTAAGATCAGTAAACCAATTTTTACCTTACTGTCTCCCAGAAGGTTAAGGTCTGGCTCTGAGAAACACTGAGAAGAAACGTAAATTTTGCTTCATGGGAGGATATTGTAAACATTCTCTTTTTTCGTTAAATCACCAAGAAACCAAGGTGGAAATGCAACAAGCACAACAAAGAACTTCTCAGGCTAAAGAAGAAATTGTGCAACCAAAGGGACAGTGAGGGGATAACGAAACAGAGGCTCTTTCTGCTTCAGTGTCCTGAATTTAAGGAAGTATGTGAAAGATATTCCCTACTGTTGTCAAGGTCCAAACAAGAAAAATTGCACTCTACACAAAGAGGCAGGAAAAGGTGACACAGGAAGCATTATGTGATATGGGGTCTGACCCCATCTCTAGATGCAATTAAGATGCCCCCACTCTGGACAGGGACTGGAATGATGTTTTCCTTTTCATCCTGAGCAGTCCTTTTCCTGCCAACAAACTCCTACTGCATTGGGATGCAGAAAAGTTTTCTACTCTGCCATGCCAAAAACAAGGAAGTGCAGTAAGAATTCTGTAAAATAGCAGGGACATCTCACAAAAGGGTATGGGGAAGCTTTGCCAGAGATTGCACCGTGTCTCAGGATGAAAGAAAGATAGAAAAAGGAGTCATTAGTGGAGTATGCATTTGAAGCAGGGTGCACTTTCCACACATAGAACATAGAATAAAAGTTGGAAAGGACCTTGGTAGTCCTCTAGTCCAACTCCCTGCTCAAGCAAGAGATTATACCATTTCAGACAAGGGGCTATCCAGTCTCCTCTTAAAACCCTCCAGTGATAGTAATGGCCTGATATATGGAGCTTTCCTGCCAAATAAGTCATAGTTAACTAAATAGATTTTGGTAGCTACATATCATGGAAGATACAGGAAATCAGAAGTCTTTAAAGAAAACCAATTAATCCATCTTTGAATATTTATAATTTTGTTTTAATGGAGGCTGTTCAACACAGGTAGTTCGCAATTTACAACCACAAAATGTGAGCCAAACATTTCCGTTGCTAAGCAAGACAGTTGTTAAATGCCCCATATTACAACCTTTCTTGCCACAGTTGTTAAGTGAATGACTGTACTTGTCAAGTTAGTAACATGGTGGTTAAGTGAATCTGGCTTTCCTATTGACTTTGCTTGTCAGAAGGTTTTGTCTTTGCTTGTCAAAAAGTTGTCACATGACCCCAGGACACTGTAACCGTCATAAATACATGGCAGTTGCCAAATTTTGATTATGTGACCATGGGGATGGTGCAACAGTTGTAAGTATAGAAAACAGTCATAAGTGATGCTGTTGTAACTTTGAATGGTGATAAACAAATGGTTGTAAATTGAGGATTACCTACACTGATACCAATATATTTTAGCTGATAGTATGAGAAAAATGTTGCCCCAGCTTAGCCATAATGTTATATTGACAGGAATCTGTTCTCTAAAGTTGTTACAGATTCACTCAAAGTGAATTCAAGTTGAACTTCATTCCTGGTTATCCCACAAGCACACATCCTTGTTTTCTTATCAAAGGCACAGAATGGTTTGCCTCTGCCCTGTCTGTGGTGTCTTTTTTCATTTCTCAAGTCTACTTACAATCCTCCCATGCAAGTGCCAACTAGGCCTGACCCTAGTAAGCTATTTTAAGATCAGTCAAGGTCATTTAGGACTACATCTCCTAGGACTACTGATTCACTTCAAAGGCATCATACTATGCTACCCAAGCTTAAATTGCCAGCCCTGGACCCTCGGAAGCTTGGGAGCACTGCAGCCATATTGGAACTTGTGTTGGAAGGCAACTAGAGCAATGGCTACTGTCACACAAATATATATATATATTAAAATGAACCTGTAGTATCACTTTCTCAAGGATGGCTAGACTGTTTCTGCAAGAAGACTGCACTAAAATCTGGTGGTTTATGTTCATATATTTGCAGGGTACAAATGTACAATCCCAACAATAAAAAGTTCCCATCTCCAATTTAAATTATCATTTCATGCCCTTCAGAAAACTATCTTAACCTGCAAAGCTTATGATGCAATGGAAAGATTTTCCTCTTTTAGCAACATAGATCTCTGTTTTTATTATGAAATGTAATGTAAAATTACACAGTAATTTTGAAATTTCTGGTCATTTTTTTAAATGAATCTATCTCAGTTTCTGAATCTGGATTGGAAGCAACATTTGTGCTACTCAAGAATGCTCATGGCAAAATCTTTAATATTTAAACTTTATATTTATTTTACATTTCCCCCCCACACCCATTTTATTATGTGAATAACTTCCAGTAATCAGGAAGTTGTTTCATTTATTAAGTTAAGGGATCTGCAACAGGCTGAACAGTTTGGTACAGTATGCTTTAAATAAAACAGCAATTTAACTGAATCACAAATAAAACTCTATAGTAATTATATTGTTATGCTGAAAACACACTTTTGAATGGCCACATTTTATTCTTACATTACTACTCCTTCAGTTCCCAGTGTGTGTTTTGGTAGATTATCTTTATCAAGATAGCGTGAGTTACTATTTATTGGGAAATGAATGTTGGCTGATTTTTTTTTCTCCTTTGGCAACTGATCAACTAGAAAATAGGAAGGGCAAAGGAGGTTTATGCATTTAGTTAAAGAGAGAGAGAGAAAAGAAAACAGAATGGTAAAGAAACTTATATAGTACTCAGTTTCTGACATGTATTGACAAACTATCTTCCAAAGAGCTTTGGTAGTACAGTGGTCTAAGGCACCCTGTTATTAAGCTGGTTATTAAGACCAGCTGCCTGCAATTACTGCAGGTTCGAATCTCGCCAAGGCTCAAGGTTGACTCAGCCTTCCATCCTTTCTAAGGTAGGTAAATTGAGGACCCAGTTGTGGGGGCAATAAGCTGACTTTGTATAAATATACAAAAGGATGAAGGCTATTGCTGAGCACATTGTAAGCCGCCCTGAGTCTCCGGAGAAGGGCAGCATATAAATCAAATTAAAAAAAAAATACTTTTAAGGTTGCTCTTAAACTATGCAGTTTGTTTCCTGGAGATTTATGCTTGGGCCCCATCCTTCCCTTATGGAAGAGCGGTAATTCCTTTTAGCAAGATCTTCTCAATCTAAGCAGGTGATCCATAAACACTATGCATCACCTACTTAGACTGAGAAGATCTTGGGAATTACCGCTCTTCCATAAGCGGGAAGGATGGAATCCAAATACATAATTTTGTGTGTGTATATATGTATATATATATACACACACACACACACACACACACCCAGTGTCCTATGAGGGGAAAAAAAGGAACCACTGACAAGAGTCAGCCCTTATTCTGTTAAATTAACCCTTCAGCTAATTCCATACTTTATGCTACTAGCCAACGGTTTGAGAAATATCCCAAAGGGGATAAATATTGATCCAGAACAATGGATCCTGAACACCTGACAGGAGAGGATGCCCAACCTTTAAAAAGCACGATGAGTGGGAAGCGGGGGTTACATCAGCTGCCACGTGGGAGAGGTTCCACGTCCTCCCACACATGACGAGGTGGAAAATTACAGCCCCCCCACAGCTCTGGCCGCGGGACGAGGCGCAGGCGAGGGCCCCACCCTCCATATCATACAGTAGAGACCCCCCTGAGTGGCGAGTGACCACGCCCCTAAACAACAGCATTTTCCCCCGCCGCCGCGAGGCTGCTTCCCATCCCGGCGTCGAAAGGCTCCGAGAAAGCCTTAGTCTCGGGTCCCGGGTTACCGCAGCCATCCTCTCCCAGACTGAAGGGCAATTCCACCTGGCACCTTAGGGCCAATGACAGCAGCAAAAGCACAGCGCCGGAGGCCGAAGGAAGCGCTGGCAGCTCTTACGCTTCACCTCAGGGTTTCTAGCGGCACGTTTTCTTCTCCCGCTAGGCGCAAGATGCCGGACGCCACTCTCACCCCAGTGTACAATCCACGCCGCCGCTTTTTTTTTTTGTTTTTGTTTTTTTTTTTAATCTGGCACGGCCAGAGAGGTTCCCCAGACAGCCTCGGGGGATCGTTGATTCGCGCCGCCGACACCGCTTACCCTGGCCATGCTGCTCGGGCGCCTCGCGCGGGCTCTCTCCAGGCGCGTTGTCAAGGTGGCTTCCCCCCCTTCCCCGGCTCAGCGAGAAAGTTGCATCAGATCTCGCTGCCAGCAGCTCTCGCTACTCCCTTTCCCAAGCCCTCCGCGCGTCGGGGCGAAGCGTCCGCACGCGTGTCAAGCCCACCTTCGATTCCCACTCTCCGCTCTGGGGGTCGAGCGCCACCGACTTTAGTCAAAAGTTTTGGTCGCGGCTTCGAAGAGGGAAAGGAGGGAGGTGTGTGGGGGGGGGGAGGCGGCAGCGGAGAGGTCCCGCCTTCCCCGCGTCGTCGGCTCGGTCCAGGCATCCCCGCCCCCCTTGCTGATTGGAACGTTCTTGCATCTCAGTCCAGCCACGCCGCGGAGCTCCGGGGAGGGGCTGCGGCGCCGAGTCTGGATTTGCGGTGCGGAGCAAGACTTCGGGGAAGGGCTAACCTTCTTCCCCGCTGGGCGCTGCAGTCCACGCGGCAAGGGAAACCCTATATACCTATCCGGCACGCTCGGGCAATAAGCTACAGAAAAGGGGTAAAACGCCCTTCACGGGTGGGGCTGGGTGGGTGGGTGGATTTATGAGGGGAACCGATCCGGGGCGAAGGAAAGCCCACACCCCCGGTTCGGGGCGCGTGCATAGGGGGCGCCTGGCTCCGTCTGCGTGCGCGCGCATAAAACCAGGAACCACATTCGTTCGCGGCGAAACGTGCCGATCTGGATGCCCGAGCCTGGAGAGCGCGAACAACTGACAGCTCAACGCACAAACCTCGGAAGGCGGGTTAGGAAAAAAAGGAAGGTGGGGGAAAGGCAAGCATGCATCGCTTATCTCACCTTGAAACAGTACCATGGACAGTCACACCGGGAGAAAAACCCAGACCTAGTAACACCTACGTGCCACACAAACAACACACGCAGAGGGGTAGGTTTTAGCTCTCAACTGTGCCCATCCTTAGCCTCATCCAATCTTGCAACGGATCCAAGAGGGTTTTTTTTTCCCTGCAAGAAAAGCTTAACTCCGTAAAAGGTTAGCAAAACAGATCGTTGTTTTCTTTGGCCTCTTCCTCCTACCTAAAGATCAGCCTGTGGATCGCTAGGCACTGCCCGCAGCGCCTTGGTATAAGGGTGCCCAGCGTGGCTCGATCTTGACTCGGCTATCTGGGGCCGGTGGACCTCCTGCGAGTTCAAGCGCAAAGCATCTGACTGGCTCGGCGTGTGTCATATAAAGAAGAGGGGTGGGCAGTTCAAAGCCTTCTTCTCCACCCCTGACAAATGTTGCCTTCTTTCCTCCGCTCCACGCCGCCGCCACACACTGGCGCGGGCGCATACTCCGCCTCCGCCTTTATAATAATCTCGTCCATCCGGATGAATACCTTGGACTACAACCCCCATAATCCTCAACTACGGAAACGAACGCAGAAGGCATGTAGCGGGTACCGTACTGTGGAAGGCTGCTTTAAAATACAAACATCCCCCTCGCATTCTGCTACTCAGGCCTGTGGTAGAGATTGGGCGAAGTAGGACCAAAGGGAGTGGGGGGGGGGAGATCTTGGCCTTCTACGTGGCATCGCTTTCCCAAACTCTGTCGGGGAACCCCTGGATTTTGTGCCCTGCCGCCCCCTGCTGGCATCTTTTCAGGCACGGGGGCGGGGGGGGGGAATAAGAGACTTCATAGCAGAAGCCATAAATGTTGTAAATAGGATTCAGTCATTCCCAACATTGGCTTGGGTTTCTGTCAATGCCTACATTCCAGCAGTCACTCAGTTGAATCTTGGATAGGATGTAACAAGTAGCCTATTTTGTCTAGAAGGCTAGTAGCAACATTTGCTCCAAGGCAAGCGGTTCATTTATGTTGTGTGTGAGGGAAGGTGTATTTGAGAGACAGGCAAACCAGCAAGCAGACTTGTCTTCTTCTGGTAAATGCAAACAAACCCCAGTGTTGTACTTTCAGGCTTCTTAAATGGCAATGAAGAATGCAACCAATTCCAATGTACACAATGACAATTTACTGGAGCGGTTTATGTAGTGGGAGAGTACATTAGCTTTGCAGGCTTTGCTGCAGGGAGGTGGCTGATGCAATCATTCTGGAAAATACGCTGTAAAAAACCAAGCTGGCTCAAGGCAATGCTTTTTTTTCATATTTGTTGACAGTGAATCTAGTTTCTTTGCAACACAACATTTGACTCAGCTAGGAGCGCATGGTCCCTCCCTCTTCTCTCACCTCCAAACACTATAATTCAACAAGAGGTCTTTTAGAAGAGAAGGAAAAACACTACATATCCTACCCTAACATAGCATTTGGCTTTTTTGCGGCTGTATCACGTTGCTGACTCATGTACAACATGTACAACTTGTGGTCACCAAGATCCTTTTCACATATACTACTGCCAAGTCAGATTCCCATCTTATATTACTCTCTTACATGCTTCTTATCCAAATGCAGAACATTGTATTTGTTCCAGTTAAATTCCATTACTGTAGAAACATTCAGGAAATAGCCACTGATCCCCTCTCCCCCAGGATTGGCTGAAATGATTGCCCTGCTCTATATAGGCAAGTCCAGCCTTATGGATTTTAATTTGAGAACAGTGTTTGTGTCAACCAAAATAGCAGCACTGCTACTACTGCTTAACATGCACACAGTGCCCTTCTTCAAAGAAATGAGAGTAACTACCATGAATTGATGATTTGTGAGCAAATAGTTACCATTCACTTTTTCTTTTTTGTATTTGCTGAAACTTGTGACAATAACTTGCTTACAAATTGTGGGTTTTTTTCCCTTCAAAATGTCAATTACTGAAAGTGAAAGAATTGTGTGTGGTCCATGCATGTGTGTTGGAGAATCAATTGTTTTGACTATAAATCTTCCTGCAGTAGGAAATAACCTGGAAGCAAATAAAAACTTATTTACAGTTATCAGATTCCTGTATATTCCAGTTTAGGTCAATAAGCTATTACATAATAAATTGTCCTGCACTTTCAGCCATGCTTATTATTTTAGATTTATACATTTTAGTTATGCTCTACTGCTTCTTCAGTCCTACTGATAACACTGTTCTCAACCAGATACTCACCAATCCTCTTGAAAGGATCTCGCTCTAAAACCTAGACTTATAAAAATGTGGCCAATGATGGAGCTTCTGCTGCTCCAAGAGCAATTAATGGGGTAAATAATGACTGTCTGTATGAATGACAAAGATCAGATCTTTATCTCACAGAACTATTTAACCAGCTGCTTTGAACACAATAGCAGCATCAATATTTATATGAAATGGGTGAATAAAATAAACAAGGACCCAGATTGTTGGTGGCAATATGCTGGCTCTGTAAACCATTTAGAGACGGTTGTAAAGCACTATGAAGTGGTATATAAGTCTAAGGCTATTGCTATTGCTAAATATTACAGTTCTTCAGTGATCATAATCTGGATTTTAAAAAAATATTAACATGAAAATTTGCGAGGAGTTGATTGCATGACAGAGAAAAAGAGAGGGACAGTGGAATTTCACCATTTTCTTAGGAATCAAACTAAGAAGTGCCAGCTTTTTTCCTCTAGGCAAAGTATGGATAGGTGGAAAAATTCATGATGCTACACAGAACCCACCTTTCAGAGCTTTATATTTAATTACACAAGACACTGTCAATGAAGAGTGGGTGGACACAGCTAACAGCTAACTTTAGAAAGGGAGGAGGATATTTTTTTCACCAGGTGTGGACTTTTAAGTGCAGAGAAGATGAAAGTCTTGTTGATGTATGCGGTAAGCCCTCCCACCCACCTCATTCCACTATGTTAAAAAAAGAAAAAGAAGATAGATGCACATAATCTCAGATTAGTCAGTCTGACATCAATTATTCGGAAGATCCTAGGAAAAAACTTATGAAGTTCCTTAGAAAGGAACAAAGTCACAGGAGGAAGAGCCGCAAACTAGACAAACTGCTGAATCTGTGGAAGAAGTACAGGTATGGCAAATTCTCAGAATTTCCATTACGGTTTATTCCAAAATGAATGATAGTATTTCAGATGCTACATGGCTCTTTTGGTTTTGCTTAGATGAGTAGTCCTTAATGTACCTTTCGTCTCCAGTGTTCTTTTAGAAGGGACAAAGAAACAACAACAATTTAGGAGATGGAAGAAGATTTGAACAATTGAGAGAAAAAGGATTTTGGTTCAGATTCAGAGCAGTTCCAGAAGACACTGGCAAAGATACCAGAAAAAAAAAGGTTGTTCAATCTTAGACAATGTTTTTGGAATTGGGATGAAGATGGATTACTGCAATGCGCTCTACCCTTGAAGACTACCCAGAAATTTCAATGGGTCCAGAATGCAGCAGTAGGGGCCCATAACTTTGACCATGTAATATTTTTGTTGTGTGACCTGCAGTGGGTGCAATTCAAGGTGCTGGTCATCACTTTAACACCCTCTATGGCACATGGTATTGCCTTTCCCTAAGGATATCTGTCCTACAAGGTCAGATAGGGTGAGCACACTCTTAAGTCTCTTTCTCTAAATGTTGCCATCTGATGGGAGATAAAAAGCATGCCTTTTCTGTGGCAGCCCAACCCTATGGAACACTCTGCCCCTTGAAGTTTGGCAGGTCTCCACCCTTTTAGCCTTCAGTAAAGCTTTGAAGGCCTGCCTTTTTCCCCCAAGCACTGGATAACATTGGATAACTGCATGTTGGGCATTTGACTTAGTGCCAGCAGTCTGTTGTTCTTAACATTCTGTGGTTTTAATCTGTTTAATTTTTATAGTTTTAATATGATTTTATATGTTGTTTTAACTTTTGGTTGCAGCTGTTCATTTGATTAGATGATGGGCTGCTATAGTAAATGTTTTAAATAAACAATAAAATAAAATAAAAACCTTTTTTATTGGTCCTGCAGGAAAGAATGGCTAAGCCTCCATCCAATCCAGTGTATTCAGCTGAATATCTTGATCAAGTGTAATAGCAGAGGCATTACACATATTGACAGTTTGGTTTTACCAATTGACAAGTCCAGCTATACAGATGAGGTTACCTTTTTGTGTTAGCTCCAACTAAAACTTGTAGGTTGATTTTTTTTTTTTTTGCACCACACTGCACAAATTAAATGAAGTGATGTAGGAAGGAAAGTTTCTCTTGAATACTGTATAAAACTTGAAAATCCCCACATTTTTTCAGTACCTAATACTGAGCAATTGGGTGCATTCTGTCCAGTGGTGGATTCAAATTTTTTTACTACCAGTTCTGTGGGCGTGGCTTGGTGGGCGTAACATGGCTTGG